AAAAAATACATACTATGTTAAATTAACTTGTTTTTTAAAAAGTATATTGTGAGCTAAAACAAGATAGCAGCCAGACCACTGATCTCTAGGTCTGGGGCATATACCATGAAGACGCTTACTGAATCCCTAACTTGATTTAAAGAACCTTTATTAGCTGTCAAATTTTGAAAAGTGCTGCACCTGTTACACTCCTCAATGAGTGCGGTCAAGTAAAAACCAGCTTCATCCTGTATTTTTACAAAGCTGAGACTCACATCAATGCTTTTGACCTAAGTTTAAAAAAGGAAATGAAAAGTCAATATGAAAATAAGCAACAGAAGGTAACTTTCCCCAGAACAAATGCATTGAAGTTTAAAATGTTATAAACAAAATATAAACACTACTATACACCTAAAAATTTTAGCTTAGAAAAAATAAACACTTTTCCAAAGAGTTTAATTTAATTTTAAAAGCAATACACATTTATAGTTTTAAAATTCAAACACAAAAAAGGTTTAAAAAAATAATAAGACTGCAAAAGTAAAAGGTACTCTCCTTTCCTCAGAGGCAACTTCTAGGTATTGCAAGTATATGCATGCTATATATACTAGTTAAATTACTATTAAAATCACTACACTTCAAATCACTACAATGTTTTAAATATGACTTATTTTGTATTTAGACTGGTTGCTCTAATTATGTAGAGCTTGGGTTAACTACTTAAAGCCATGGTTCAGCACAATATTTACTAGTATAATGGTGAAAATTAGAAACTACATTAATGTCCATAATTTTTTTAAAAAACCACTTTATTCAAAATATAAAATAGGGCCAGTTAAAATCAAGTTTAAAAAGTTTCTAAGGCCATGGTATAAAACTCATTAAGTTAAACAAACAAGAAATTAGGTTACAAATCTATGTGAATATTATATCTCATTTACACCAAAGATGAATTTTTTAAAAATAAAACACTGGAAAAAAATATGTGGAGAGATGACTTTTGAATGAATGGATTATATTTCGTTGTTGTTGGCTTTATATATTACTATCCTTTGTAGCTTTTCAATAACAAACATGTCTTTTGTTTAAAATGGTGGGGGAAGGACTATTAGAAATGTGTAGCCAATTTAAATTTAAATAGAACAAAACGATTCATGAAAGTAGTGCTACTAGCATATTCAGATAGCTAAAACAGGTAGATTTATTTAACACAACTTCCATGATTCTGTAAGTCAAAAAGACTAGTCAATACTGCTGTAATATAAGGTACGTGAGCATTGTGTCAAGGGAAAATTGGGCTTGAATCCCGACAGTACTAGTAGCTTTACCTTGGGCAACTTATCTAAAGACCCAGAGTCTGTTTCCTCCAGTGTAAATTAGGGAGAACAATATCTGACTTGGAGGGTTGATATGTCAGGTAAACTTAATATAAAGGAAATAAAGGGACTGGCATATATATTCCATAAACAGTAAATGCCATTATTATTGATATTCAGACAGGTAATTGTTTTTTAATGTCAGACTCAAATAATTTTCAGCCCTCTTTCAGAATGGCTTTCAAAGTGCCAAACTGTTCTTTACCTAACTGCAGTGTCTGATACGTGCCCAACTATGGAACCAAACATTCAAATGGAACAGTACATTCAAGAGGAATACAGACATATTCACCAAGTTCATTCATTCAACCAACATTCATTGAGTACCTACTATGCAGTGAAAAGACAAGACATGTCCCATTTTCAGAGTTTAATTTCTAGTGTGGGAGACTGAATATAAAAAAAAAAAGGAAATTCCAAATAGTGACAAATATTATGCAGAAAACAAGAGAAGTCAATGCAATGCAATCTCCTTGAAGAGGCAACATCTGAACTAAGAGCTGAATTATATCATGGAATTAGCAAGATCTGGGATAAGAGTAGTGAAGCCATAGGGTACAAGCAAGTGCAAATGCCCCAGGGCAGGAGCATGCCTGGCAAGTTCCTGGAACAAAGGAAGAAACGGATGTGGCCAGGCTCCATCACACTGATCTCGTGCCAAACAGGTAGTGCCTGGCAAGCTTCAGTGAGGAGTTTGGATTTTATTTTGAATATGATGGGGGGCTTTCAACAAAGGGGCAACAAAATCTGATCTACATTTTAGGATCTCCTAGACCTAGACTGTAGTCAGGGGAACGAACCATAAAAAGGCAAAGTGGAAGCAGGGAGACCAGCAGGTTACTGCAGAAGGCCAGGTCAGAGATGGTGATAGTTGGCAAAGGTGGTGGCAGTAAAGGTGGGAAGAAGTGGATAAATCTAGAATATATATTGAACACTATAACTTAAGGCAAATCAAAGAAAAAGAATCAATCAGATAATGAGTAGTTAGCATCTGGGACTGATTTTACTTACCCAAGAGATACAGAATGAAAATAGAGGTTTAAAGGTTTTAGGTAAATTACTAATGGAAACCAAAAGGGTCATCAGCATATTTAGGGTACTTCACAATATGTACTTATCCCTTGAAGCTGAGGTGAAGAGGCCATTTCCTTCTCTTTTGGCACCACCCATAAAGCACACATCCAAGATTCAATGTCAATAAAGCATACTTAGTATGATTCATAAAGTAAATCTTTCAGGACCTTACTGCTGCAGGTCTGGACAGCTGGTCAGCATTGGGAACATACTGTGACTATGAAATAGAACTAAACCTCCACTTGAATCAAATCACTAAAACAGCAAACACTTTTGAAACTTCCATATTGTCAACTCAAGTTATTCTGTGCTTGCTCTTCCGACAGTTAAACTAGAAAGGCCTTACTTTGCCACACAACGCATACTAATTTCTTAAATCTTATATCATAAATATTTGGGAGGAAATCTTTTAAAACCCGCATTTTTATTGTTATGGTCTGGCAAACATACAGTGAATAGTCCTTAAAAGTTAAGGTCCAAAAGTCCACATCTGAAAAAGCACTTGACAGCTTTTCTTGTAAACCATTCTTGTATAACATATATGAATTCCACCCAGGCTGGGTAGCTCAGTTGGTTAGAGCATTGCCCTGATATGCCAAGGATGTGGGTTCGATTCCCAGTCAGGGCACATAGAAGAATCAGACACAAATCGAAGTTTCTCTCTCTCTCTCTCTCTATCTCTAAAATCAACAAATAAATTTTTTAAAATATATGTATAAATGCCAAAAAGAAGTCTGAAAGGATACAAACCACAGCTAACATTGGTGATGGCAGGAATATTGATGACTTTTTTCTTTCTTTTTTGTTTATATGCCTCAATCAACATTTTCCCCAATTATTACAAATTATTTTGTGTAAGCAAAAATATTCAGTTATGCATTAGCATAAAAGGTTAAAAAAGAACTGCAAGAAAACAACTAATTCAACAGGATTCCAACTGTGGTGTTAAGAAAAAGATTTCAACCCTGGCCATTGTGGCTCAGCTGGTTGAGCAATCTCCAGAGCAGCGGTTTTCGGACCTCGGGGACCATCTGTTGCCCACGCTGCTGCAGAGCACCAAAGGTCATGGGTTCGATTCCTGGTCAGGGCACATGCCCAGGTTGTGGGTTTGGTCCCCGTCCTGGATCTCCACGTTTTTCTCTTCCTCCTTCGCCCGCTCCCGCTCGCTCCCTCTCCCTTCCTCTCTCCCTCTCTACAATCAATTTTTTTTAAAAAGAACGAAAAAAGATCTCAACTGCCCTCGCAGGAGGAAGAAATTTGTTAAGAAGAGGTCCACACAAGAAGGTCCCCCGCAAGGTAGTCGTCTAAATTCGTAAGCACTCTTCCCGGATTTGATAAGGGACACGCAATTAGCACATACTTCTGTTTTCTTTCTTATTGTTTACCAAAGAAACCCCTCCAATTAATGAATTGGGGGGGGGGGTTGTTCTTTTTAAAAACCAAGTTAGGACAAAACGGAGGTTTGGTCTTCAGGTCTCCTTGGTGTCTTGGGGGGCTGGCTGCAGGCTACGCTGGAGGAATCTGCGTGGCCAGCCACCGAAGTGGAACGCACGCTTTCAGCCGCCTCCACAGAAACGGGCAGCCAGACGCTTCCTCAGCCTAAGGGTTCTCAAGACCAAACCAGCTGAGACAGTCACTGCCCTCCTCCAAGTTCCTGCAGGCAGAGCTGCCAACGACTTCTGACAATAACACCCCAAAACTGGACGGTCTCCCTTCAACGCCACACACAGGTTAATATGTGCGTAAAGCTCACCCGACTCTCTTGAATGCAAACCCAAGGTATTAAGGCCACAGCTTCGATTTTGCCAACTAGGACAACCAGAAACATCCTATGGACTCTCGCCGGCTAACCAACATCATCTGGGCTAAAATCTTCACACAGACACAGCCGCTTTGGAAAACTTTGGCTTTTAACGGCAACATGGGACTTCAGGTGCTCCTGCCATCAGTTTATCGCGCACAACCTGTGCTACCTCTTGACTGTCTGCTCTGGTTCCACTTATTGAACAAACAGGAAAAAAAGGGGGGGAATCCTTTAAATTCGCAACACAATGCAGGATAAAACGCTCCCGCTTTCTAGATGGCAGCCTTCCTGTCTCATCAATCCCAACAAAGGACGCATCTTGGTGCCTGCCTTAAACCTGGCAAGGGCTGAAAACCAGAGGTAAATGCTACAGTGTGAATTTCAGGATTTGTGGGTCTCTCCTACCAGCTACGTAACGACTCCCTCCCTCTCTTCTTTTACTCCATCATACGCCTCCACCCGAGTTAACTGTCTCGCCCTAAAAATAAAACCACCCGGGGCCATCGTCCACTGTCCTGCCATAGCCCCGACTATGGTTTCCTGCAGAAAAGCCAAATTGCAGGCTCTCTGCCTCGCTCCTCGCGGGGGGGAGCCGGGCTCGACAGCAGCGGGGTTCTCCCGGGCAGACTCGCCAGCCCGGCCGGGAACCACCGAGCCCGAGCAGCCGTCCCGCTGTGTCGTCGCCACCGCAGCCCGCGAGAGCCGGAGGACCCCCCAGGAAAAACCGGGGTGAGGAGAAGGTGGGCCGCCGCAGGGGAGACACTCACCCGCCCAGAAAACAACCGACGGGGCGGGGAGGATGGGGGCCGGGAGCTCGGCTCGGCAGAAAAGACCCCTGGGGCTTCCGGAACGCGGCGGCGGCGGCTCCCTGGCCTCGGGCTTTCTTCCCTCCTCTGTTTTGGTGCGACTGCCCCACGTCACTATTAACACGAGACCCCGGATCTGCCCGCTTCCGCGGGCGGCGGCGCAACAGATTGCAGCGGCCCAAGACCCCGGCGGCGGGGCTGCGGAGCGTGCGCGAACGCCGCGCCTGCGCAGTGCGTCGGCGGAGGCGGGACGGGCGCGGGCGTCGCGATATTCCGGGGCCGGATTGCGGCGGTTGCAGTTCCGGTTGACTGGGGCGAGGCCTCGCGGATGTTAAACTGCCCCCACGTAGCCTCTGGTTTGTCCGGGATGGACTGTTTCCTCTGCTGGGCGTCCCCGTTTGCCCAAACGGATGGCTGTCCCCGACTGGAGTCGTTAGAATAGCGGGGGTGGAGGTGGGCGCAGGTTGATGTCCGCTGGGACAGGGTACCACTAACAGAGATTGTTTTTGATCAAAACTCAGAGCCAGGTGAAAATGGGGCATAGAGGATTTTGTCTTAGGTACAAAGGGACGTTGAATCTGGAAACTATTGATCCCCTTTACCCTAACATGTTTGCACCCAGGAAGCTGGCTACAGTTAAGCTCAAAAGGAGTATTGCAAGGAAGATGTCACCAAAGACTGACTTGCTGGTCGAGAGATAGCGGGGGGGGGGGGGGGGGGGGGGGGGGGAGGGGGGGGCCTGGAAGAGGGAAGCTGTGAGGTCGAAAATAGGATCCTATTCACTTAAAATGAAACCATCTAAGATTGTTAGGCAGCCAGCCTAAGCCTTTGTTACTTTGACCTTAGGTGCTGGAATAAGGATACTATTTGTGGAGTTAAGAATCGTCTTTTTAGACCAAGTTGGTGCTTCCTACTCTGGCCCCCTTAGTCTCACTGCTAAACGTTTGGGGTCCAGGAAATCTCCCAATTTGGCAAAGTTTAGGGCTACTCTATTGTTTTCTTAAGGTCCATGCGTTGACAAACTTAATTAAAATAGAACCAGTGGTGTCCCGGCTGGCTTGGCTCAGTGGATAGAGCATCGGCCTGCGGACTGAAGGGTCCCGGGTTCGATTCTGGTCAGGGGCACATGCCCGGGTTGTGGGCTCGATCCCCAGTGGGGGGCGTGCAGGAGGCAGCTGACCCATGATTCTCTCTCACCGTGGATGTTTCTATTCCCTTCCTCTCTGGAATCAATAAAAATATATTTAAAAAAATAAAATAGAACCAGTGGTAAAAGTGGAGTTCCAAGAAAGATTTCACAAAGGTGCCTCTTGGCTTGTCCTGCAGGCGAAGTGAAAGGTAGCTGTCTTCCTCACTCTGACGTGGTGACTTTTGCGCCTACCCAGACTTCTACCTCAGCCATTTGGTTAATCATCTCAACTACCTGAGTCACCTTCAGAAAATTAGTATAATCTGCGAGAGCTTTTTAATTAAAGTGTTTGAGCACCGGTCAAGGTTTCTAGAAAATTAAAGGTTTCTGGTAAAACTCAGAAGTGTTTCCTAGTTAAATAACAGATTCAAAGTACAAGTCAAGCTTCTTGGCCCTTAATCTGCAATTCTTGAACTTGACTCAAATTCAGGGAGTCTGAAGTGGAATCTAGTGCCCCAAGAAGTTCCTGGGCTGACCCTGCAGCAGAGGGCCTTTAATCTGTGGGACAGAAAGTCTTGTTTGCTTGAGTGCACCATGTGCACATACGTGACAACACAGCTGTGTTTAAAGAAACAGTATAGTACAAAACTAGACTTGTATGGGTTATTGCAAAATTATCAGGACTTGCTTTATAAATTACTGGAAAATCAAGATGTTAGGATCCCCGGTGACTCAAAGATTGCCTCTGTAGTCTCCTCCAGCCCTTTGAATCAGGGGCACTCTGACCTGTAGAACACAGCTGAAGGTGGGTGACTTCTGAAACTAGGTCATAAAGACACTGATTGCTTGCTCTGGGGGAAGATAGTCTCCATGCCACTCTCCTCAAACAGCCCTGTGAAGAGGCCCTTGTGGAGAGGAACAAAAGCCTCCCCAACAGCCAGCCAAGCACCAATTTACCAGCCTATGGGTGAGCTACCTCGATGGGGTTGATCCTACAACCCCAATCAAGCATGATATTAGATGCCTACCGACCCAACATCTGCTTGCAGTCCCATGAGAGAAGGGTCACCTCTTCTAATTAAATGAAATGGAGTTTGAAAGGAATCCAGCTCATTTATTTAGGTCAGAGTTTGTTTCAGTGTAAGGAAATAAAATCCTGTTTTTGAGCCCACAACGAAGATACTGGGCTACTAACTACCTTCCCCTAACTGT